ATAATGCAAAAGCAAGAAGAACCTGCAGGGCCATTAGCCCCCCCACCCGAGACTGTAATATGCCAGTAAGTCACAGAAATAAATTTTGAGCAATTTAAAAAAGAACTTTATTAATTGCAATGTTCACCTGTCCATACACACATAAAAAAAATTGTTACACATGAGTGTCTTCTCACCTTTTTCTATTAAGTATTTTCTTGAACTTCTTTGCAACTTCCCAGCCCCTCACATTTGCCTCTGGCTGATTTTAAATTATGCTAATTGAAAGAGGGAAAAATGCTGGTAACGGAATTAAATGGAAGGCCATTTCTTACAGCATCTGGTGCAAGCTGAGCCGTGTAAAAGTGCATCTTATGGAATAGAGATATGAATGAGCAATGCCAGTCTGATTACAAACACTATGAGTCTCATTAGAATACGTCAATCTGATTGCTAGGTAGTGATACACTGCAGATTAGTAGGCTATAATTGCATCTTCCATATGATGTGTATAATGCATAGTTTCTCTGGGTGGATGTTACAACCACTTTCTCTTGTGGCTATCTTTTCTAGCTCTACACAAAGCAACGTCTGTGCTCTACTAAGTTGATTTTAGCTCGGTTCTTGGGTCCTAATTTTATTTTCCTCTAAGTATTCATCAAGTTTTCTACATCAGTGTTGTAAACAAAGAATTATGTCCAGGGTGATTGCCAGAAATAAGATATGTCAGTGGTCTATTACCCACAGAACTGGGAGCAGCCAATGGCTCAAGGCACTTCCTCTGAAGGGAAAGGGTAAAATAACTGAGCCCAAAGCCCACTACAGAGCCACAAGTCTTAATTAGGTTGTTGATTTAAGTGTGGTGAATTCTTTCATTGTCAAAATCCATTTGGCTCTTTACTGTGACTGGAAGAATTCAGACATTTCAGCCCAGGTCATGACTTTGGCATATACTCTGCAGGATTTACAACCTCCTATGTGGACCCTGAAATCAGCACTCCAACAGTCACATTTTGCAGAGGCACAGTCTCTCCAACCCTTGCTCCATATGCTACTGCTCTGTCCTCAAGCAGTATGATAGCTGCTAGATCACCAAACGAAAAAGACAAACTCTAGTCAGCTGCCAGCCAGGTAAGCACTTGGCTTATGCACTGGGACCTGCTGGGAATGCAGGTCAGGGATCCAGCAGGCTCGAGCTTTTCTTGTCTTGACCCTGGATGAGCTGGATTCGGCACAACATGAGATGAATCTCTTTGTCTCTTCTAGGTTTTTCATATGAAATCCCCCAGATGTGCTTCCAAATAGATTCAGGGTTTCATTTTTGAATACATTTGCAAAGGGCTAGGTTAAAGTAGCAAAACTGGTTTCCTTACTACAGAACTTCTCAAAGCCTTCCATATACCAATGTGCTTTATGAATTTTCACTATTACTCCATATTTCTTGGCTAAGGAACTTTCCCCAACCCAATCTTGCACGTTTTTGGCACCTGGGATTAAACTCGGGTCTTTGCCCTTGCAAGGCAGGTACTGGACCCACTGAGCTAAATCCCTGGCCTGCTGAGGCTTTATTTCAAAACATACCCACCCTCTATTGTCCTGTTTGGAAAACATCACTCATTCACATGGTCTGCCTGGCCCACATGGACATGTTCCATGTAGCATAGCAGTTTTCCATAGAATTGATTACACTGATTTCTCGAAAGATCCCCGCAATACAGGGACTGTTTACTCCCAGTTTAAAGATGAGTAAAGTGAGTTTCAGGGAAGCTGATTTGCCCAAGAGCTCACAACTAGAAAGGACCTTATTACATCAAGCTTAGTCCCTACCTCAGTTAATTTTCCTCGTCTTAGGACCGATCTTTTGTTTACTTGGCTAATGAGTAGCCTGTGTTTGTCACAGTCCATCACTGAAGTGAAGAATAGCATTTGAGAAGATCTGTTCATGGCTTTTATGCTTAGAACATGGAAATGATAATTAAAGAAAATCACTACCTCTTTCTGGCTATATATCAGATGGCAGTATCTTAGCTGTAATAGATTGCACTTTGCTTTTAGTGAAAAGTAGAATGTGAAGATTAATTCCCACAAAACAGTATGTTAGATGAACATTGCACTGAAGTTATAATTTGTTCCATTAGACCTTACCAAAAACAATCAACATGACAAATCAGTGAAAAAGAAACTGCCTGGCAAGCGAATAGGCAAGCAGGGTTTAGAGACTGCAGTGCCATATACACTGCTATGGTGGCAGCAATTGCCATCAAACAGGAACATACCCACCTGACAAATTGTTTAAGGTGAGGGAGTGGAGCAATTTGGGCACATCCTACAGAAGCTTGGGGTGTGGCAGAAGCTGGGGCAAATTGTTGGATTCCAGCTGCTGGTCTTCAAATCCCAAATTCCAACTCTAATTAGCAGAGTGACCTTGGATTATTTTCTAACGTATGACTTAGTCTTTTCAACTACAAAATGTGGATAAAAGCATTCCTTTCTGTGTGTTGCTGGGAGAATTTAAATATGTTCCAAAATGTTAAAAGAAATAAAAGCTATAGGCTTGGGCTCCAGCTCAATTCTTACGAAGTCTCAGAACAGGACTTTCAGGTCTTGTCTATCTGATATAGGACACAGGGCTAAAGTGCTGTGGTTTTTCCATATTCTAGTCACATTTTTATTTTTCAGAGGTAAAAAATAACTTCAAATTTCTTGTCTATTAGAGTATATCCTACATTTCCCATCTCTCTCCCTCCTCCCAGGGCGATTGAATAATTAAAGGAATTTAAACATCAACCACTAGATACTTTTGTATATGAAGGCTGTGGCTAGAGAAAGCATAGATTATTTTGCAGAAAAGGCAATCCCTTCAGCATCTGGATATCCAAGGATGAGAACGCGAGTGTTCTAGCACACCTGAGCATTGCTTATTCTTCTATGCATCTTTGGCAAGTATCCACCGGACACCTTCATGGGGACTCAAGAGTCAAAGCTTGATTCACTCTCTTCTACAGGCAATTCTCCCCGATCTCCTCTAGGTGCACCCACCTCCTTTATCCTGTGGTAAATTGGCTACTTCAACAGTTTCAGCTCCTCTTCCTGTGTGTTTAAGATGACCTTTCCCAGCCCCCTAGCACTTGTGTTCAGCCAAAGAGAGGTGCCCTGTCCAGTGATTAGAGAGGTAGAAGCAAAATTCTCTTTCAAGCCTGGCCAAACAGCTCTCAACACAATTGTCCACATCTCTTTCCCGTTATGCAGTGTCCTTTGGTCACATATTGAACATGGTAGCATCACAACAGGGAAAGAACTTGGGCCCATTGGTCACTGTTTGGAAAAATTTGCAGGAATATCCTCTGGACCTTCATCAGGCTGTGATGTAAGCTAAACATAAATGCTCAGTCTGTTAAACCACTGAGAATATGGAGTCACTTATTACAGACAGAAGCTAGCATTCATTTTTGCTAATAATACAAAATTTCATATTCCATTACATTGAAATCAATCTCAAAATTATTGGTAAGATTACATGTGGCAATTTTGACACCATTCTAAGAGCTCTTTCTAAAAAATGTAGGGAAAAATACTTATCGGCTGATTTTTTTTTTTTTTTTTT